GGTAACTTTCTGACCTCTATTATAATTTTCTTGTCGCTATTAAAATTTCACTGACCTCTATAGTAATTTTATGACCACTATTGAAATTTTCTGACCACTATTGAAATTTCACTGATCTCTATGGTAACTTTCTGACCTGTATTGTAATTTTCTGACCTCTGTTGAAATTTCACTGACCTCTATGATAACTTTCTGACCTCTATTGTAATTTTCTGGCCACAATTGAAATTTCACTGACCTCTATTGAAATTTCACTGACCTCTATAGTAATTTTCTGGCCACTATTGAAATTTCACTGACCTCTATAGTAATTTTCTGACCACTATTGAAATTTTCTGACCACTATTGAAATTTCACTGATCTCTATGGTAACTTTCTGACCTGTATTGTAATTTTCTGACCTCTATTGAAATTTCACTGACCTCTATGATAACTTTCTGACCTCTATTGTAATTTTCTGGCCACTATTGAAATTTCACTGACCTCTATTGAAATTTCACTGACCTCTATAGTAATTTTCTGGCCACTATTGAAATTTCACTGACCTCTATAGTAATTTTCTGGCCACTATTGAAATTTCATTGACCTCTATAGTAATTTTCTGGCCACTATTAAAATTTCACTGACCTCCATAGTAATTTTCTGGCCACTGTTGAAATTTTACTGACCTCTATAGTAAATTTCTGGCCACTATTGAAATTTTACTGACCTCTATGGTAACTCTTCTAGTAATTTTCTGACTTCTATATTTATTTTCTGGCCACTATTGAAATTTCACTGACCTCTATAGTAATTTTCTGGCCACTATTGAAACTTCACTGACCTCTATTGAAATTTTACTGACCTCTATAGTAATTTTCTGGCCACTATTGAAACTTCACTGACCTCTATTGAAATTTCACTGACCTCTATAGTAAATTTCTGGCCACTGTTGAAACTTCACTGACCTCTATTGAAATTTTACTGACCTCTATAGTAATTTTCTGGCCACTATTGAAACTTCACTGACCTCTATTGAAATTTCACTGACCTCTATAGTAAATTTCTGGCCACTATTGAAATTTCACTGACCTCTATGGTAACTCTTCTAGTAATTTTCTGACCTCTATATTAATTTCACTGACCTCTATTGTAATTTTCTGGCCACTATTGGAATTTCACCGACCTCTATTGAAATTTTACTGACCTCTATTATAATTTTCTGACCTCTATTGAAATTTCACTGACCTCTATAGTAATTTTCTGGCCACTATTGAAGTTTCACTGACCTCTATAGTAATTTTCTGGCCACTATTGAAATTTCACTGACCTCTATTGTAATTTTCTGGCCACTATTGAAATTTCACCGACCTCTATTGAAATTTTACTGACCTCTATAGTAATTTCCTGGCCACTATTGAAATTTCACTGACCTCTATTGTAATTTTCTGGCCACTATTGAAATTTCACCGACCTCTATTGAAATTTTACTGACCTCTATTGTAATTTTCGGGCCACTATTGAAATTTCACTGACCTCTATTGAAATTTCACTGACCTGTATAGTAATTTTCTGGCCACTATTGAAATTTCACTGACCTCTATAGTAATTTTCTGACCTCTATTGAAATTTCACTGACCTCCATTGAAATTTCACTGACCTCCATTGTGGGAACACTAATAACCATGGTACATAGTTAATATCTCAACATACAGAACGTTATCAACTTAAAGAAGATATTCTACAATAACTTTGAAGTTATTTCGACTATTAGGTCACTTGTTTTCATTTTGATAAACAAATATTGACGGAAATTTTCAACCTGGTTTATTTTGTAAGTTGCTAGATGTCAACATTATGTAAGGTAAATTGGAATGAATTGACATATCAATACTGTAAAATACTTTATTTTCGCTTGAAATTAATTTTTGCTGAAGGAATAATTCAGCAAATATACCTTTTTCCTATATTGTACTACACGCTCAAATGGTAACTGAATGCTCAATTAACAGTTAATACTGTCACAAATAATTTATTTTCACTTGGAATTAATTTTCGTTATTTTCGCTGCAGGAATGAATCAGTAAAAATAAAATCCAGCAAATATACCTTTTTCCTATATTTTACATTCAACTCGCCAAAAATCAGTGAAAATAAATTCCATACAAAACACCCAAAAAGTCTTTTCAGCGAAAATTGATCCCATCTAAAATAAAGTATTTTACAGTATCACTGATATTTGTTGCTGCTCCAGCAATAATATTCCTATGAAGATTAATACAATCATTCAAGGTTTGCAAGCATACTGTGATGTCATTTTGTTTCTAGACGTTGGATTCGTATACGGCCGGGGGAATTATCTTACTACAAGCTTGGTGAAGACAGACAGACAGCCTTGAATATTATCCAGTTAGCTGATGAGAACACCAATATCAGTAAAGTCGATTACAATCAGTTTAGCATTACAACAAGAAGTAAAGTTTACTAGTAAGTGTCGTATTATTATGTTAAAAATGACGTAAATAAAATACAGCTTATCCTTATCTGATATATTTTTGAATGACATAATTGCTTCTCAGTATCAGTTGATAGTATCTCCTTGTTGTTTTTTTGCCCCTGAAAATGCATATTTAGACTTTCCATTAATTATTAGTCTGTTCGGATACAGTCCGAAAGCTTACAGGTTGGCTTCTGGCATGCGTCTGTGTGTGCGTCTAGCTTGTATACCTGGACCAATCACATTTAAACTTACAAAATATTATACATGTGTACCTCAGTTTGTTTCACGGTCTAAAAAATCATCAAAATCAAAAATTTATGGATAGATTTTGTTAAGCTTGGTACATTATGGGACCTTGATGCACATCATGTTATTTTTTAGATCCGATTATTAATATGGCTGACTGGTGGCCATTTTGTTTTAATGAATGCAGTTCTAATGCCATATCTCTGCCATGCTTTGACTGATCATGTTCAAATTTTATATATTCATTATACGCCAGGACATAGATAAATTGGTTTGACTATCTGATTCAAAATGGCCAAATGACAGCCATTTTTGTGCTAAAAAATCATCAAAAATCAAGCATGTCTGGCATTCCATAACTGAATCTTGGCGTTTATGGATGGATTTTGTTCAAACTTGGTACATACATTAGATATTATGGGTTCCTATGCACGTCATTTTATTTTTCAGGTTGAATTAAAAATGGCTGACTGGCAGCCATTTTGTTTAAATTAATGCGCTTCTGGAGCCATATCTCTGATATGCTTTGGCTGATTATGCTCAAATTTTATATATTCGTTTTACATCATGTTATACAGAAGTATTCAAAATGGGTGACTGGTGGCCATTTTGTTTTAATGAATGCAGTTCTACTGCCATATCTCTGCCATGCTTTGACTGATCATGTTCAAATTTTATATATTCATTATATGCCAGGACATAGATAAATTGGTTTGACTATCTGATTCAAAATGGCCAAATGACAGCCATTTTTGTGCTAAAAAATCATCAAAAATCAAGCATGTCTGGCATTCCATAACTGAATCTTGGCGTTTATGGATGGATTTTGTTCAAACTTGATACATACATTAGACATTATGGGTTCCTATGCACGTCATTTTATTTTTCAGGTTGAATTAAAAATGGCTGACTGGTGGCCATTGTGTTTAAATGAATGCGCTTGTGGAGCCATATCTCTGATATGCTTTGGCTGATTATGTTCAAATTTTATATATTCGTTTTACATCATGTTATATAGAAGTATTCAAAATGGGCGACTGGTGGCCATTTTGTTTTAATGAATGCAGTTCTAATGCCATATCTCTGCCATGCTTTGACTGATCATGTTCAAATTTTATATATTCATTATACGCCAGGACATAGATAAATTGGTTTGACTATCTGATTCAAAATGGCCAAATGGCAGCCATTTTTGTGCTAAAAAATCATCAAAAATTAAGCATATCTGGCATTCCAGAACTGGATCTTAGCGTTTATGGATGGATTTTGTTCAAACTTGGTACATACATTAGAGATTATGGGTCCTGATGTACGTCATTTTATTTTTCAGGTTGGATTCAAAATGGCTGACTGGCAGTCATTTTGTTTAAAATGAATGCGCTTCTAGAGCCATGCTTTGACTAATTATGTTCAAATTTTATATATTCGTTTTACATCATGTTATATAGATGTACGTGTATTCAAAATGGGCGACTGGTGGTTATTTTGTTTTTGACTCCCGTGTGCGAAGCACAAAAAGGGAGTCTTTGCAGTTAGTGTGTCTGTGTATGTGTGTCTGTCTGTTCCATCGATATCTCAAGAACCATACATTGTTTTTTGATGAAACTTTGTGCATAGATTCTCTGGGCCAATGCGCAGATTTGATTAGGTTTTGGTAAAAACCATGCATATTAATTACCTAATTTGCATGATAATTAACTGATTTTTAGCTGTTCCATGACTGTTCCACTGATATCTAAAGAACCACTCATCTGATTTTGATGAAACTTGGCACATAGATGCTCTAAACTAATGCACAGATTTGGTTAGGTTTGGGTAAAAATCTGTGCAATATTAATTACCTAATTTGCATAATGATTAATCAATTTTGGGCTTTTCCACTGATATCTCAAGTACTAATCATCACATTTCAATAAAACTTGGTACATAGATGTCATAGGACACTGCACAAACCTGATAGTTTTTAGGGTAATATCAGTACGTATTAATTACCTAATTTGCATAATTAATTAATTTTCTGCTTTTGATATTTCAAGTAGTAATCATCACATTTCAATGGAACTTGGTACATAGATGTCATAGGACACTGCACAGACCTGATAGTTTTTAGGGTAATATCAGTACATATTAATTACCTAATTTGCATAATTAATTAATTTTCAGCTTTTGATATTCCAAGTAGTAATCATCACATTTCAATGAAACTTGGTACATAGTTACTTAAGGACTGTGCAGACCCATGATTAGTTTTTGGGTAAATATTTGTGCATATTAATTACCTTATTAGCATAATTAGTTAATTTTCAGC